AGTATGATGGACTCTAAAATATTCATATTTATGTTGATATGTATATACACCACCCCATAATTAATTGTGCAGATTCTTGTTTTTTGGATTGGTTTGATTGGTGCATATAGGATGTTGTTTTACATTATTGTGACAATTGATGGTGTAGAAAATGAAAACAAAATGCTTTAGGTTATGTTTAAGTACATAACCTTTGTATAATGAATGAAAAGAAATTAATGCAAATAATTTGGGGAACAACTTATTCATATGTATGCAACTTGACTGGAAGAGGCATACCTCAATATTTTCTAATCGTAGATAATGGATGGCTACAAATTGGAAGTGAGGTGACGGAAAACTCATATTGTGTAGTTCAAGAATGAGCTCAGTAAGTAAATAATTAGGTTTTGTCATATAATAAATTAATCAAAAATATTGTTTATATCTTGTACTCCTAAAGATTGCATTGAGTTTCTTCTACAGTCTAATGTTGCTATTATGTAAAAAAATGTTGTGGTGATTGGTAAAAGTAACATTGATGGATTGCCTGCAATCTTACTTATTCAGGTATTGATATATATATATTGTATATATAATTATAATTGATCTTAGTCTAGTAGATTTAGATTAGTGCGTAAAAATATTATATTTATGTACTCTAATTGTGCAATTAATTATAAAATCATATTTGTTTCCCTAAGTTACTGAACATCAATATTTTATTCATTTATGGGCAAAAACATCATACAAAAGTGATTATTCTTCATCCACTACCGAAAATTTAGAACAAATTTGCCATGAAGCTGATATCTTAATTGCAGCCGCAGAAGTATTCAACTTGATCTGTGGTACTTGGTTAAAGCCAGATGCAATTGTTGTATATATTTTAAGGTGTAATTTTTTATGTTGATAGGATGTCCGTCAATCCTTTCCTTGTAATTACTTTTGGTGTGCTAAACATAATGTAATATTGTATGTAAATATAAAACAGTAAAAGTGTTGTTGCATTGAAGCTCTTTTGTAAATTTGATATATTATGATAGATGAACGAAAATTGCAGGTATGTGATGATGGTCTTTTATATATGATTTGTTGACAATGAAGATTTCTGAAAATGTAACAGGGGTACATCAGAGTTGTGTTGGAGTACTTGCCTGCTCAACTGAGTCACTATTTTTTAAAATGTTTCTAATTGATTGATATTGAGTTTGTGAGTGTGTGACAATTTGGATTATTATGTTATGGGTAAAAATATTTTAGAAAAGATGTGTTTATCCTATTACACAAAAAACACTTGAAGTCCTAGTAGTAAATTACAACTCGTGTTTTCACTTGAATGTTGTTGTGTGTGTTATGGTGTGAATTTACTATGTAATAGGTCTAAAGATTTTTAATTCGTGGTTGTAATTATTTACACTAACAACTAATATAATTCAACTTAGTTATTTATGACTTGTTTAATCATCTACAAATGGAGGTTGGATTATAATTGTACGTATATCATACAATATAACTAAGTTATTTCTCACTTGTTTAGTCATCTATAATAAATATATGTTATTTATCTTTTCATACAATTCAAGGTATCGCGGAAATACTATCACGATGAATTTATCATTTTTTACCGACAACAAGTGAATATTTTGAACAATAAACGGTCTGTTTTCCAAGCACGGGTTATCAGAGTATATATACTCGTAATTGAAGCATATGATACCACCATTATAGGTATGTAAGATTTGTGACATGGTATATCGGTATTTGATGTAGGTATGTAAGTATATGCTTCGGGCACAAACACCGACACTCAAGGTATGAATAATGATTGCTTAGGTATTATTTGTATAGTAGCAAGTATGCGTGAGTATGGTTGATTTCAGTTGATCTACTGATGGAGGAGCCAATTCACAAACTCGGTGAGAGTACTTCATTTCTGAGCCTTGTTGGAAAAAATTAGACACGGTACGTTTATATTTGACAGCTCATGCCACACTTTTCAATGGCAAGACCACAAAACATGTAAGATTACAAAAAGTATAAATTAACTAAGTCATTTATGACTTGTTTAGTCATCCATAATATATGTGTTATTTACATTTACATACAATTTTGAAATTCACATAAATACTATAATGATGAATTTATTACTGGTTATAGATAATAATTAAATCTTTTGAACCGAGAATGATTTGGTTCCCAAGCACATGTTTTCAAGGCATGATTTACTAGTTATGAGAGCATATGAGATACTAGTTCCAGGGTATATTGGTAAGAGACTGAGGTATCCTTTGATGCTAACCTGTGTGAAGGAATGACATGTTATAATTTTATATTCAAAGTTTGGGCATGGTACATTTATATTTAACAACTTATGCCATATTTTTCAATAGGAAGACAACAAAGCATGTATGAATAACAACCAACATAATTTAACTAACTATTTTATGTCTTGTTTATCCATCTACAGTAAATATGTGTTGTTTATCTTTACATATAGTTTTAGGATTCGCGAGAAACTATAATGATAAATTCATCCATGGTTACTGACACAATTGAATGTTTCAAATTGGGAATGATCGGTTTTTAAGTACAAGTTACTAGGGCATAAATACTCGTTACTAGAGCATATGAAATCGTATTGTATGTAAGTAAAAACTACTTAAGGGTAGTTGATATTTAATGAAGGTATATAAATATGTGTTCTGGGTACGAGCATTGACAATCAATGTATGATTGATGGTTGCTTAGGTAGTATTTATGTAATAGCAAGTATCTTTGAATGTGGTCGACTTCAGTCAATCCCTTGACGGATAAGGCAATTAAGGAACTTGGTGAAAATATTTCTTCTATTAGCAATTATTCACTTCATTGGTGGTTGAGAGAAATGGCAGCAACTGAAAGAGCATAAACCTTCGCAGCACATGTATATAATTTTTTCTTTTAGTACACCATTAATGTACTTAAGTATCCGTGAATGCACTTTTATTAATTGCAAACATTATTTCAATCATTACAAGGTCTTGTAATGAATTAGTTAATTCAAATTTAAAATCCGTATGCATAAGTTTTCTGGTTGGTTGTTGTCTTCGTACAAGGATAACATTTCTAACAGATGGATAACATTTATATGAGCATATATATGTCGTTTAAAGGTATTTCGATCTAGTTAGACGGGTACATCGATCCGTTTTGGAGGTACAACGTATGCATTATTGCAATTCTAACCATGTGAACAACTAATCATACAATCATTTATGGCACAATTCATAGCATTACTCTAAACATTAAGTTTTACCAAATTCAACCTACAATTCATCTATCTATCAATTTTAATACAATCTCATCAAACATGAGGCAAATCAAACCAATTTAACCAACAATTCTAGAAAATAACACATTAACCAAATCAAGTACAAATAACACAACTCAAATCAATCCCAAATCCATCTAAATTCATTACAAATGTTCACTTACCCTTTACTGCTCATCAAAGTCTATGATTCGGAGGGCAAACCTTTCATTATTTTGACCACAATTTTACTGTGGTAGCTCTTCACATTATTAAACTCACCGTCGATGCCACCAATGGGATTGACTGTTGGATTCGTGTGAGCGTAACACTTGCCAAACATGCAGACCAAAAGACCACAGTCGAGAGTATCACCTTGATTCCGACATGTTACGTAATCGGGCATCTCCCTTACCATGGGTCATAGGTATATTGCATTCAGATACAAGCATAAAAATCACGATTGTAAAATTAACATAATATTTTGTTACGTAATTCGGTTTATCCATGATAAATTAATTATATTTATTTTGTACACGTACCAATTTCTTCGCGTTCACTTGCCCGAACGGATCGCATTGTGAATTGAACAACAAGCACAATCCGACCTACGATCTGTAAATAAATATCATCAGTACATTACTCAAATCTGAATATTTTTAAAAATTTATCAGAATCTATCAGGAGTACGTAACAACACATGTCGAGTACACATTAGTCCCTAAAAGTATATTACTTAGCAAACTAGACCTAAAACTGCAACTCGGGGTACTTAATAATACCACATTTGCCAACCCACAAACATGACTAATTACCGAACAATCAAACAAAAAAATTAAAATATGCAACTATGGGCAACTAAACAAAATATACATCTACAAAATTAACAAAAAAACACATATTAAACAAATAAAATCACCAAATATCGGTACCAAAATAAAAAATCCAACCCGGTTTACATGGGCAAACATACGAACAATTTTAAACCCGATTAACAAACACAACTACATCGATCACACAGGGCTCCTCAACACCAAACCGAGACATACAAACACAAGACCAAGAGTTACACCCCAAACAATCGAACAAACTACATACAAAATATTAGTATCAACAAAATAAAAAATCGAAAAAAGTCCAGCCAAGAACTTACTTCTTCGAGCTTCTCTCGGGGATGGGAGCGATCAACTGTTTTCTTCAGCATTTTTGCACCAACCGATCACTACTTTATTGCCAAGGGTTGAAGAGGGTCGGTTCGCCTGAAGAAGAGAGAGATATGGTTTAAAATTGGGGTAAGAGAAGTTATAAGAGATTTTCTTCATCAACCCCTGTTAAATCGTGGGTAACTATCTTTTTCTTTTTCATTTATTTTTTAATTCGCGAAAAAAGTACGCGATATTTAACCAGAAGTATATAAGATTATAATAGGGGTGGAGTAATGTAGATATATATTACAATATTAGAAGTATTGATCAACTTATTTTGAATACTTATTGCATATACAACAATAATTGAGGGATAAATACAAATGGAGAGTCATAACATATATAATTCATAAAATAGGAACGCAGACTAATTCATTTTTAATAGACTCAATTGTAAGTGAATTTATAACAGGGAGTTAAATCCAACTCTCCCTTTTGTTTTTTACCAAATTTCCCTAATTTTGAAAAAAAACAAAATAAATTTATTTGATATTCTCTTCTCACGCCGAAGAAAACAGAACCAAATGTTTTTTCTTCCCCTCCCATCCATTCTCCTCAAACCAAACCCAAACCAGACAGACCCTTGAACAAATTCCAGACAGATCTCGTTTTAGCGGCGATGATAAGGCTGGGTTGAATTCTCTCTCTCTCTCTCTCTCTCCCGTCTGTTCTCCTCGCAATCGCACTCTCTCACTCGCTCCCATAGCCTAGCCGCCGCCATGTACAATTGCCGCCGCCTGCTTTCGATAATTGCCTCCAGTGCCCTCGTTGGATTTCTCTTCCTATCGCAAACGACAGCCGGTTCTCTCGATCCCGAAACGTTCGCAAACCGAAATTCCGACGGCCCCGTATCACGATTCCGGAACTATCTCAAAATCAACACTGCTCACCCCACGCCCGACTACGTCGCCGCCGTTAGTTACCTCGCCGATTTCGCCGCTACCATACCCACGCTCCAAGTCCGAACACTTTATTTCACCACCCCAGCGAAACCGCTTCTCCTCCTTACATGGCCAGGCTCAGACCCCTCCCTCCCCGCGGTTCTTTTCAATTCCCACCTCGACTCGGTCCCGGCCGAGCCCTCCAAGTGGCTGCACGACCCCTTCGCCGCCCATCTGACCGAGGACGGCAAGATCTACGCCCGCGGCGCTCAGGACGATAAGTGCATCGGAATGCAGTATTTGGAAGCCATTAAGCAGCTGAAAACCATTCGAGGCTACAGTCCCTTGAGGACCGTGCACATATCGTATGTGCCTGAGGAAGAGATCGGGGGACTGGATGGAATGGCCAAGTTTGTTGAGAGTGCAGAGTTCAAAGATTTAAACATTGGGTTTTTCATGGATGAAGGGCAGGCGTCCGCCAACGACGACGAGTATAGAGTGTTTTACGCGGACCGATCGCCGTGGCATCTGGTGATTAAGGCGACCGGAGTACCCGGGCATGGGTCCCGAATGTATGATCGTAGCGCCGCAGAGAACTTGATGAAGAGTGTGGAGCTCATTATGAAGTTTAGGGAGAATAATTTTGATGTGATCAAGGCTGGTTGGGCTGCCAGCTCAGAGGTTGTTTCAGTCAATCTAGCCTTCTTCAAAGCAGGAATCCCGTCTCCTTCTGTAAGTAGCTACGCCTGCTTGCCTGCCTGTTCGGTGTGGCGGAGTATTGATTGATTGATTGATTGATTTATCTATTTCGTTTGGATTTACTTGATTGCTACACATATAATCGGACTAGCTGCCAGGGATTCGTAATGAATATGCAACCGTCCGAGGCGGAGGCAGGGTTTGATGTTCGACTGCCACCAACAGCTGATCCTGAACGGATGAGAAAGAGAATTGCAGAGGAATGGGCACCGGCGTGGAGGAACATGTCGTACGAGGTCAATCCTTTTCTGTCAATCTTTTTGGTTATAAGAACATATATATATATATATATATGTGACACTGAAGACAACACAAGCGGGAGCTGGTTTTTGTCGTGTTAAGTAGCAGCCTCCATTGAATTGCATGGCATACAATCCTACTACCACTACTACTACTACTGCAACATAAAATGCATGCTCAATCTCGTAATGGCAGATCACAGAGAAAGGTCCTCTGAGAGACCACAGGGGACGCCCTTTACTGACAGCCACAAATGACTCCAACCCATGGTGGTTGGTATTCAAGCAAGCCATCAAAGAGGCCGGTGGAAAACTTGCAAAGCCAGAGATCCTACCTACAACTACGGATGCCCGATATCTGAGACAAATGGGAATTCCTGCCCTTGGTTTTTCTCCCATGAAGAGCACTCCAATCCTGCTCCATGATCATAATGAGGTGATTCCCAGAGTCTCTCCCCCTGTTTTACAGTATTTTTTTAGTGGTGATTGAGTTAGTTGTGATGATGAAAGTAGTGTGCTTTCTTGGCAGTATCTGAAGGAGAGTGTTTACCTCGAGGGGATTAAGGTTTACGAGCACATAATCAGGTCATTAAGTTCCTACAATGGAGCTTCATTTATTTAGTAAAGAAAAGAAGAGAAATGAGAAGATCGACGAAAGCTGCCTGCTCGTATTGTATGTACTTCAGTGAGTCTTTGTTCGACAACTTGAAATTCAGCCAACCAAGACTTCATTATCGTGATAACCAATGTTTTATTTGTTGTACCTTGTAGATATATTAGTATCCACTTGACTCCTTTCTATGTTACTTTCAAGGATTGCTCATGAATTGATTGATCACTCCCACTATATGTGGGATATCTAGTCTTGAACCGACTATGGCGATATCAGATGCATACTAGACATTCCTTCCTCATGTGATCGTATTCCAACTTATTCTTGAGTGAGTCTTTGTTTGACAATTTGAAATGAGATTCCTTCCTCATGTGATTGTATTCCAACTTATTGAGTGAGTCTTTGTTCGTGACTCTCAATGTGTGTGCTCATATGCTTTGCATCTTATATTTTAAATCTCTTCAAGACATTCTTGATATATTTTACCTGCAAGAGATGCAATCACCCATTTTCCCACTCTCAAGTTATTTATATACTTAAAACTTTAATTTATCTCCTCTCTAAGACTTCATGAAAAAGATTTATGCTAATTGTTGCTTTAGCTTTTCAACCTTTTGGGCACAAGAACTTTCTGATAACATCATGTCATATATAACAATATTATTAGATATAAACTCTCAAATCTTTTAAAGTAACAATACTTCGCATCTTGTGAAGCCAATATCATGCATAAAGCTATCAAATCTTCGGTGCCACTACCTCAATGTTCCCATCTCAATGTTTGCTTAAGGTCATAGAGAGTCCTCCTTAGCCTGCATAACAAATCTTCTTATCCTTTTACTACATATTTGTAGTTGCACCATTAATATATGTTCATTTAGGTCTCTGAAAAACTGTTTGGATATCTAACTATACTAATATAAAATTATTGGATGCTACCATGCATAAACCAAATGAATAGTCATCAAATTCACAATGAGAGTGAACATACCTATGCAGCAAATACAGTATCATTGCTCAAATCCTTTTACTATCCCGCCTTATTTGGATTGGCTTCTGGCAGCTCCTTTTGGCTTCTACTTCTAAAAAAAAGTACTTTGTATCAATTTGTATTGGCTTCTTTATAAAAGAAGCAACTTTTGAGGTTGAAATTTTTTATTTATTTTTTACCAGAAGAACATTGAGGGTAGCTTCTGAAATAAACAAGAGCACTTTGCCTAAAATTATTGTTTTATTCTTAATAATAATAATAATAATAATAATAATAATAATAACCTGCTTAGATTGATTTTAAAAAATAAGTAGAAGTCAAAAGAAAAGCACAAGCAGAAGCCAAAACTAGATCCAGAAGCAATTTAATTTTAAGTTTGGATGAACATTATAAAAGCAGCTTTTTTTTATATATATTATATAAAAAAAATGTACCAAATAGAACATAGTTATGTAAAAGTATATTTTTATTAAGGGTGTGTTTGACAATTAGCTGCTAGTTGTTAGTTGTTAGCTTATTCAATTAGCTGGTTTGACTAGCAGATTCGATTAGTTGTTTGTATTAAAAATTTTGGTAAAATAACGACTTTATATTAGTTGTTTATACGTAAAATAACAATTAAGGATATTTTATATTTTATTTCAAAATATTTGGTTGAAACTTTTTCCCGTGGTAGACCTTTTTAGAATTTTATTACTAATTTTAAAAAGGCATTAGTATATATGCATGCGAAGCAAAAAAATAATATTAAAACCACTTACCTTGAATTTGAAATCGAGATCGAAGAATCTTTTCGAATCCTCTAGTCTTTATATAAGTTTTACCTACAAACTAAATAGACAAAAAAAATAAGTTAGTATAAAATTTAAAAACAAAATTAATCCATGCCAGTCTCAGGACGTAAAAATAATTTTATTACTATATGTAAGATGCTAAAAATTAAATGCAATGCATAAATGTAAAAGAAAAATGACGAACTACTCTTTATTATGTTTTCGGTCGTTCGGTCACTCCGTCTTGTATGCATCTAAAAGAATTTCAAATAGACATTAGTATATATGCATGGGAAACAAAAAATGATATTGAAACCACTTACCTTGGGATGGAAATTGAGGTCGAATGATCTTTTCGGATCCTCTAGTCTCCAATAAGCTTCACCTATAAACTAAGTACTAAAAACAAAAAGTTATTATGAAATTTATGAACAAAATTGATGCATACAAGTCACGGGACGAAAACATAATTATATTACTATTTGCAAAATGTTAAAATAAATGAAATGCACAAATTTAAAAAAAAAAAAAAGGACGAACTACTCCCTATTATGTTTTCGATCGTCCGATCATCCAACCACTCCCTCTTGTTTGCATATAAAAAGATTTAGAATAAATATTAATATATATGCATAGGAACTAACAAAATAATATTAAAATCACTTACCTTGGGTTGGAAATCGAGATCGATGGATCTTTGCGGATTCTTTAGTCTCCAATAAGCTTTACCTACAAACTAAATATACTAAACAAAAAGTTAGTATGAAACTTAGAAATGAAATTAATGCATGCAAGTTATGGGACGTACAATGTAATCTTATTCCTATATGCACATATGCTAAAATAAATGCAATGAATGAATGTAAGATTAAATAGATGAGATACTCTTTATTATGTATGCAGTCGAGAAGATCTATTTCGTTTGACATGAATCTTCGCGATGATTCCATGAATGCATCTAAAAAAATTTAAAAGAAATAGTATATATGCATGGTAAACATGAAAATAAAATTTATATAAAAAAAAATAAAAACCCTAAAAAAGGATGACACAAACGATTTTATATATTCACATATAGAGAATTTTGGTCGAGAATTATAGTGTCATGAGTTATTGAGAGCGATCAGATATAACAAAAAGTTTGTAGTTGTAGACCCTGAGTCGTTTGTCATAATTGTTTATACTTTTTAACTGGTGAGTTTCCAGATCGAACATAGGGATTTTAAGTCGCGAAGTCAAATCAAGTATTAATCTAGTGAAAACGGCGATAAAGCAATAAAGAGACCCGCTAAAAAGCAAGCCTGAATCTAAAACTAAAGGAAGCTGGAAAAACTAAATAAAGCAGTAAAGGTGAGTGGAAGTGAGCAGAGCGATGGTGAGCGAGACTGGTGCAAGCGAAGGGTGAAAGAGACGGACATGAGCGGAAAGACACAGTATATTTATATAGATTGAGCGGATAAGGGTGATAAAGAGGTGTTGTGTTTGATTTGTGCGTTTCTTAATGGCTAGATCATCCTGGATGAAATGAACGAATGGTGCTGATGTTTAATCGAAACATATATGTATAATACGAAAATGAAAGGAGAGAGTAATGTAATTATATAAATCAAATCATAAGGAACTTTGATTGCTGATACTTGACATCAAGGGATTTACAATAAAACTTTAATGAAGCCCAAAATTAGAATATTATAAGAAATAAACCCTATTGTCATTAGGAATTTTTGTAACCCAATAGACCACTGGCTATGCCCCATTAATTATCTCAATTTTTGTCTCATTAGTGGCTTTACCCTTTTGTTACCTCTTTTTAATCAAAATCGAATTTAGACCAGTAATTAAGCAGGTCGACAAGGCTCCCGCGTACTTAACTATATTGAATTACCATGAATTTATTTGCGACAAAGAAACAAGGCTTGAATAATTGATTTTTCTGCGTTCTTTATCAGGGATTTAGAGTTTTTTACAACTAAATAAATGTGAAAATAGGGAAGACGTGATGATGAAGAACAAGTGATATTTCATTACTTATTACCAAAGCAGTAAAGTTCTATTTCTATGAAAGCTGTAAATCAAAGTTGTAAACTAGATTTAGGGAAACAGTAAGGTGGTGGCCGAGAGAGAAGATAAATCTCAACTTCTCTGGCCATTCCTGCTGAGAACTCCCTTACAGGGTTGAAGCTCTCGAAGGGCAAGAAGGAAGCTAAGAATGTGCGTAAAAGTGCTTGTATATTCCTTTCGAAGTATATTTTACAAACATATATCTTACCCCTATTTATAGCTAATGGAAGTAGCAGTTGCGAGCAGTTGAGAAGTGGTTCCAACCGCTGAGCAGTTAGGCAGTTGAAAACAGTTATTCTGTTGAAGCAGTTGCTAGCCATAACTCTCAGGGTGCTCGTTTCGCTTGTTTCAACTTGTAAGGGCGCAAATCTTCCTCGCTCACCCAGATGGTTGGAGGGCATCAGCGCAGCTGAACGGAGTCATCTATGTTGGCTGGTAGTGGGATGGTTGATCCGCTGTAGGTTGGACACTTAGGCATTATTTTCAATGAGTTGTCGTCGTTCCGCTGCGGTGGGTGTCTGGGTCGCTAACATGAGCTATGAGGTCTTCGCTGGTGGAGCGGATGCGGCTATCGCTTGCTTCTCATGCCTTAGATTTTTTTTACCAGAATCACCGCTTAAAAAGGCAAAAATTGTTAATAATCTCAACAAACCAATTCTGGATCATGTCAAGTGGAATAAATCAACAAAGTATGCCATAAATTAGTATACAGAAATTCAAGTAATACATAGTTTTGTTAAGCGGAGAATATGCTCATATTTGGAGTCATCAAATGAGTTAGTATGAGATTTAAGAATGAAATTAATGCATGTCCGTCCCAGGAAATAAAATTGATGCTAATACTAGATGCAAGTATGTTTGAAAATGAATGCAATTCAAGAATGTAAAAAAGTAAAAGTGCGAAATTATCCATCTCTTTAGTACGGCAGAGGATATCCATTATGTTTCGAATGAATTTCTTCCATCGTCCTACCCATCCTCACGAAGGCATCTAAATGGATTTAAAAGAAATTTTAGTACTCCCTCCGTCTCATAACTACGTATTTGTTTGCTTTTTGTACGGAGTTTTAGAAATATTAGTATTATATTAGGATGTAGTAGGAGTATAATAGAAATGACTAAAATAAATTTATTAGTATTGTGTGATATAAAGGTAATGACATTTGCGTAATATATTTTAAGTGGTAAGGGTATTTGTAATGTTAGGTAGATAGTACAGTTATTAAAAAAAAATTGATACTTTGTTATGGGACAGACTAAAATGAAAAAATTGATAATTTGTTAGGGGGAAGGGAGTATATATATATAGTAAATATGATGCTAATACTAATAGTTGTTAGTTGTTAGCTGATTCAATTAGCTGGTTTGACTAGTTTATTCGATTAGTTGTTTGTATTAAAATGTTTGGTAAAACAACAGTCTGATATTAGCTGTTTATACGTAAAATGACAATTGAGGACATTTCTATTTTATTTTTGTTTCTAATATATTCAATTATGTTCTTTTGAGTTTATAATGTTTAAAATTTTTTGTTATTAGTTATTAAAAATTGTAAAAGTGTTATAAAAATATTTATTTTTATTAGAGTTAGATTTAAAAAATAATATATTTTTATTAAAATATATAAATAGTTTTTTCTATTAAAAATAATGTAAAATATAAAATAATAATGTTTTCGTATATATATTTAT